GTGTGTGTGTGTGTGTGTGTGTGTGTGTGTGTGTTTGTGTGTGTCTGTGTGTGTAGTGACTGTGTGTGTGTGTGAGAGTGTGTGTGTAGTGACTGCTGATATTAATAATGGAGGGCTGTGGCAGGAAATAGCTTGTATTGTATTGTCTGCATGAAAGGAACTCAGGACAGGTGTGTCTGCATGTGCAGGTACCTGAAACAGACGGTCTGTACTGGGCGGAGTGCTGGCAGGGGAATAAACCGGCTCCATTCCTGTAAACTCCTCCGCAAAGTTACCCACATCCAACTCATTACGTAGCTCAGGTCGGAATGGACTCTGAACCTTTTTCTCTGCCAAGTCGGACCAGTTTAGACCCTGGAGAGATCAATCAGATGAGATGCCTGACAATCTACAGTGACCCCACAGAGAATGTGGACACCATAGCCACTTAACAATTTAATAACAAAATATCAAATGTTTTTGTTTTTACATTCTAAACCTTTCACATTAAACATTTTATATAAAGACGTTTGTCTGGTTTTTAAACAATTAAACTGGTCTCTGTTCTTTCACTCTTCAAGAAGTGAATGTTGCCACATACTTTACTATCGTATTGTGACATCCTTCCAAAACAAAGAGTTTACCGAATAAGAAAACATGGGAGGGGCTTAATCCATTCCTAAACTGTTTTGGCCAAAACCCAAAGTCGCCAAAATGTCAGTTCATCACTAATTAAGAGACCACAACTAGATTAACCACAGAGTTCAAACGTGAGGAATATGAACAGCTGAAAGGCAAAAAGAAAGAGGACAGAGCACCCTGAAGAAAGCATGAGACTTGATCTCCTCGGCTCCTCGGGGTCCAGAGCCCAGCCTCTTATGGGGGTCTTTCACCAGTAACCTTCGCAGGAGATCCTGAGCCAAGCGTCCGATGATGGAGGGGAATGGAGGCTCACAGCGCAGGATGCGTCTGTCAGAGACAGAGCTCAGTGAAGTCTGGAAACAGCAGCTGTTAAACACTGTGAATCTGGAGAACACTGTCAGACTCACTTGGACACCTCGCTCTGGGAATTTCTCTCTCCCTCCAGAGTGAACGGAGACGCTCCCGTCAGCAGCTCAAACATCAGAATCCCCAAACTCCACCAGTCCACCACCTACAGACACACCACTCACTCATCAGAAGCTCACTGAACCCTGGTGCTTTTCTCCCACCAGCTGCATGACATTTCTCCTGCTTTCTGACACCAGGTTCTTGTGGTAATTTAACTTCTGTCCGAATCCACATCTCTGAGTTTACAAGAAGGGCTCAATCCAAAAGTTATTTTGTTAACCCTTTCGGACCGTATGGTAACGGATGTATTTTTAAACACAGGCACTTTTATTAGTATAATGCTGAAAGCTGTTCACAGGAATAATATGATGTCACCCCTCCAAAATTAGAGAACGAAATCACGTAAACATTATATTTTTAATATATACATTCATATAACACAGGGCTTGCACAACTAATCGTCTCACAGATAGCCCTGTCAAATGCAAACCTTATGTAAATAAGAGTTTTTTTAACTTACTTTTATAATGACATCCATCATTTTGAGAAAAAAATGCAAGATGGAAAACCATTTAAAATATATCGCTAATGTTACTTTTTAAAAAGGATATTTAAACAATCAAATCAAATAGGATATTATTTTCTATTATAAAATGACAAACTCGCTCCTCCATGAGAAATAATTACCATTCAAACATGCCCGAGTCATACTTTTGACGAAAATCAAATATCAAAAAAAAAATATTTTAAGACTCAAAAAATAATTTTAAAAATAAAATTTTACCACATTAATGTAATGCAATAAAAAGCCATCATCAATGTAACGCGATGAAAAAAAAATCTCATTACTGTGGAAACAAAATGTATATTATTATAGATTTTTCTCAGCTTAATGTGCATGGAACCAAAATAGAATTAATATATATAATAAACTTAAGTCAATCGCAAATTACAGTATTGAGAATCATGTCTGTAAATAATGATCTCAATAACTCAAAGATTTATTAGATATTTTATTTACCAAAGTGCTCAATTATCAAGAAAAGTGATTTAAAAAATGCTAAAACCTTGATTTTCTTTTTGCAATTACATCTCTTGTTCCATTTCAATTAGGGCTGCAACAACTAATCGCTAACATCGTTAATAATCAATAATGAAAATAATCGACAACGAATGTGATTATCGATTAGTCGCGTCTGCCCACCGCGCAAATTACAGCAGTGAATAACGCATTTCTATGGACGAAATGCATCTAAAACAAGCAGATGAAACAGAGTGAGCTGCTGCTGGAAACACAATGTATAGCACAGAGATATATTCAGCATACAGTATGTTTTCATAGCATTCAGTTGGCACGTTCGTTTGAAAGAAAACAGCATTGGGCATGTCAATAAAAAAAAATAAAAATAAGCTTTTTAATCCGATTAATCGACAAATACTCGGCCAAGTCATCGATTATCACAATAATCGTCAGTTGCAGCCCTACTGTCAATGATATGAACTGAAATGTTTTTAAATGACATGCTTTAATCTGAAGTTCCTCTGTGAGATTTGTCAGCTAATTCTGTCTCCTCTCACCTTGCCATGGCCAGCTTTCCCTCGGATGATCTCTGGAGCCATGTACTCTATAGTGCCACAGAATGAGTACGTCCTCTCTTTCTACACACGAACCAAACACAGAAGCATGAGAACCGTACACTGCATTACAGCACAACGTGCATGCAATGAAAAAACAATCCAATCTACAGTTATCGGCCCAGTTTCACAGACAGGGCTTGGACTGAGCCAGGATTAGGCCATAGTTCAACTAGGACATTTAAGTATCTTTTATAAACATTTCTGGTGTGCATCTTGAGACCAAACAAAGGCACTGACGTATTTTAAGATCAGCCAGTGCAAGTGTCTTTCAGGTAAAACAGAACAGACATACATTTTAGTGCTTAAGCCTCGTCTGTGAAACCGGGCGATTATGCATGATGAGTTTTTATTTTCTCACCTCCTCTTCCAGAAACTCCTTACTCAGCCCAAAGTCTGTCAGAACCACATGACCATCACTGTCCAATAAGATGTTCTCCAGCTTAATGTCCCGGTACACGATGCCAAGCTGAAAACACAAGACCAGATACAGCACTCACAAAACATTGATCATATGTGACCCTGGACCACAAAACCAGTCTTAAGTGTCAATTTTTTTGAATAAATAAGCTTTCCATTGATGTATGGTTTGTTAGGATAGCACAATATTTGGCTGAGATACAACTATTTGAAAATCTGGAATCTGAGGGTGCAAAAAAATCTAAATATTGAGAAAATCATCTTTAAAGTTGTTCAAATTAAGTTCTTAGCAATGCATATTACTAATCGAAAATTAAGTTTTGATATATTTACGGTAAGAAATGTACAAAATATATTCATGGAACATGATCTTTACTTAATATCCTAATGATTTTTGGCATAAAAGAAAAATTGATAATTTTGACCCATACAATGTATTGTTGGCTATTGCTACAAATATCCCCCAGCGACTTAAGACTGCTTTTGTGCTGCAGGCTCACATATTTATACCTTCATGTAAAACAAAAATCTCATCATAATCACTTTTTTTTTGCTACTGCAATTAATTTCTAATTTCTTTAACTCTAATCTCAATTTAATAAAAATTGATTATAAAAGTTTGATCCTAAAATATTATTGATAATTATAGCTAATCACATTTCTCCCAAACAATAATTACAAAGGACTTCCTTTTCCTATCTGCATTTAATTGACAAATAATTTAGGCATAAAAATATTCAGCTGAATATTTTTAAGAATGCATGGTTTTGAGCATATTTAATTAATTGCATGCGTGATGCGCTCAATGAGAGCGGATGTTAGTACCTTGTGCAGGTGCTCCAGGGCCAGAATGATTTCTCCCACGTAGATCCTGACCTCATCCTCGGAGAAGTGGTCTCTCTGGTACAGGTGAGTAAACATCTCTCCTCCGCTCACATAGTCTTCCAAAACAAACACACACTCACTTAGAAGAAGCAGTCGAGCAACAGAAGAGGACAGCAGCTTTTTCTTATTAGATTTTAGCACGGTTGTCATTGGTAGGAAACATTGTTTTGCTTACGGTGTTTACCGTGGTAAACACGTGCTCAAGTCGCATTTGCTCTTGTGCACATCACATGGCTTTTCAGTTTTGGTTTGCTAAGTAGTAAGGCGTAGCCAGCTGAATTCAATAACGAGGTATCAGGCAAGTATATAATTGGTTAGTACACTGCGGCAGCCCTCGTGTGAAGACCGACTCCACCGACAAGACACTTGAGTACTGCTTTTCTCCCCTTTCTTCACTTTTTGTACAGCTTGTTCTCATCTACACGTTTTAGTCAATTATTCTCACTGTGCTTTCAAATCTCTACTATTACTCATAACACTGGTAAATCACGCACTGTACGTTGGAGGCAGCGCAATCCTAATAATCTACAGCCTTTCCCTATGTCCTCTACTATTTTACTCTCTATTCCAATTGGTCTCTGGAACTGCCAGTCTGCTGTAAACAAAGCAGACTTTATTTAATCTATTGCTACTCATTCAAGTCTCAACCTCATGGCCCTAACTGAGATTTGGATCAAACCTGAGGACACTGCCACTCCTGCAGCCCTCTCCACTAATTTTACTTTTTCCCACAACCCTCGTCCGATTGGGAGGGATGGAGGTACTGGTCTGCTTATCTCAAATAAATGGAAATTTGATCCTCTGCCATCTCTTACTGGCAACAGTTCATTTGAATCACACACAATTAGTATTACCCACCTTGCTAAAATCCACTTTGTAGTTGTTTATCGTCCCCCAGGTCAACTTGGTAACTTCTTGGAGGAGTGTGGATGTGTTACTCTCAAACTTTCCTGTGGACGGTACTCCTCTGGTGCTACTCGGTGAATTCAACATCTACCTAGAAAACCCCCAGGCTGCTGACTTCACCACTCTGCTCGCCTCATTTGACCTCAAGCGAGTGTCTACTACGGCTACTCACAAATCAGATAACCAATTAGACCTTATCTACATACGCTGCGGCTCCACTGATAACACTTTAGTTACTCAGTTGCACACCTCAGACCACTTCCTCATCACTTTAAACCTCAGACTGACTCCTGACACAACACACACTCCTCTGCAGGTCACCTTTCGGCGTAACCTACGCTCACTCCCTCCCTCTTGCCTATCCTCTATGGTTTCATGCTCACTTCCTCCACCCTCTCAGTTTTCAGCACTGGACACTTACACTGCTACTGACACTCTTTACTCCACTCTACCATCTTGCTTAGACAGCGTTTGCCCGCTTTCATCCAGACCAGCACACACCACCCCCTCTGCCCCCTGGCTGTCCGATGTTCTAAAACAATGTACTACCACAACAAAATGAACAATTGCTCTGACTCTTGCACACTTTTCAAAACCACCTTCTCTCTTCTTTGCCACTCAACTGAGACTGCCCTGCTCTCAGTTACTGAAGCCCTGAGACTGGCAAGAGCAGCTTCCAAATCCTCAGTACTCATCTTGCTGGATCTGTCTGCTGCTTTTGACACAGTTAACCACCAGATTCTCCTGTCAAACCTCATGAAGATGGGCATTTCAGGAACAGCACTCCAGTAGTTCAAGTCTTACCTCTCAGGTAGGTCCTTCAGAGTGTCTTGGAGGGGTGAGGTTTCTAAGTCATAACTTCTTGCTACTGGGGTTCCTCAAGGCTCAGTGCTTGGACCGCTTCTCTTTTCCATCTGCATGTCATCTTTAGGCTCCATCATTCAGAAACATGGCTTTTCTTATCACTGCTATGCTGATGACACTCAACTCTACTTCTCATTCCAACTTACTATCAAAACTCTGCAACTGATCCAGAATGCAGCAGCCAGAGTGGTCTTCAATGAGCCGAAGTAAGCCCACGTCACACATCTCTTCATCAGTTTGCACTGGCTGCCAATAGCTGTTCGCATCAAATTTATGGTACTGATGTTTGCCTATAAGACAACCACTGGCTCTGCACCAATATACCTAAACTCAGTTCAGACTTATGCGCCCTTGCCCCCTTGAAGCTTGCGTTCTACAAGTGAACGGCGCCTTGTGGTGCCATCCCAAAGAGGCACAAAATCACTATCACGGACCTTTTTGTCATCTTTTTTCGTCAGCACCTGACCAATTAATACTAGCACTTACCTATTCAGTTCTGTTCTATTCAATTCTATTCTAATCGCTCTAATTTATTTAAAATTAATTTGTAAGTCGCTTTGGACAAAAGCGTCTGCTAAATGATTAAATGTAGTTCGGTTTTAGTTTATTTATTCCAGTTAGTAATTTTAGTGTTTCAACGTATTTCATTTAGTTGGAAACATTCCTAATTTTCACTTAGTTCTTCATCTAATATTTATATTTTATTTATTTATTCTTGGAAGATGAGCTTAGTACTCAGTTTATTTGAACCAGCTGACTCCACTGAATCACAACCTGTAAGTATGATTAATAATCGATGTTCATATTTTCTATCGAGCGCTCAAGAAATGGAACTACGGCAGTCGGTGTATCATTTCTGACACGCGCTGTATACAGTAGACCAATCACAAGAGACCGGGCCATCTGACCAATCAGAGCAGAGCAGGCTGACGGAAAGGAGGGGTTTAGAGAGACTGAATCTCAGACTGATTCGAACGAATTGTTTGGGAATCGCTGGAAAATTAGGTGATATTAAATGCATGTTTTGAGAAAACTAAAGCGTTTCCTTGCATGCATGTGAACCTATTGTAGGAGCCTCCCAAAACAATATCAGGAATGGCATAATGGGGCACTTTAAAGCAAGCATTTAGAAGTCATGTATATCTTACAGTAGCTATGCTTCCATTCAAAGTTGTGAATTTAACTTGTGCGCAAAATTGGAATATCACATAAAACATAAGACGGAGAGAACAAAACCGTCACTTCCTGATAAACTGGCAGCAAACATCACTAAGAAAACGGTGATTTGCTGCAGTAGGAGAAGCCACTGTGGCTCTTTCTTCATATGCAGTAAATTACCTGCGTGCACATGAAACACCACAAATCTGAAATGTGTTTCCATCGTAGTTTATGCGCATGTTTTCTTATCCAATAAAAATTGCATTTAGCTGAGTGCATAAGATTTTATGTGCAATTTTAGAATTTATGCACATCTCGCCGTTTCTATTCAGCGTGTTTTTATGTGATACCCCAAACTGCACATTAAAAATAGGTGACATAGCTTGTGACATCTTGTTTACACCAAAGTACTGAGATGCTGGAGAACTAAAAGCACCCAGACCTACTGTAAACACAGCTATACTACAGATAGCATCCATAAAACAGCATGCACGAGTGAATCAGGATGAAGTGTGTATCCTGCGCTCACCTAGTATGAGATGCAGTTTGGTTTGCGTCTGAAAGGCGTAGTGAAGGGTGACCAGGAAGGGAGACTGGCGGATGTGTTCCAATACCTGCCGCTCTGTTCTAGTGTGCTCAGCCGTCTTTGCCTTCTGAACGATGGCTGCTTTCTTCAAAACCTACAGGGGGAAAGATCATAACATACTTTCATAATAAGATTTCATTTTGAGACAAACATGTACTTGTCACTTTGTCAAGATTTTATCAGTCCAATAGTAGATAATGTAGATTTCCATTCTCAGAACTAGAGCAAAGTGGCAAAAATGACAACAAAAAAATCCTCAGTTCTTCATCTGTCTTCTAGCATTTGATATACATACATATATATACAGTGGGTACGGAAAGTATTCAGACCCCAAATGTTAAAATTTGGTTGAAACAATGTTACACTGTCATTCAGTGTGACGCAATATTTATGTAAAAATTCAAACATGCTTATTCTGACATGTACATATTCAAATATATAAAAGAATATTAAATTTTATTGTTTTTTAAATGAGTAAAAAAAATCTTACTGACAAATGGGCGGAGCCTAGGATAGTGGCAAATTTTAAAAATGTAAAATTACAACTAATTAGTATTTGGGGTGAAAGTACTTAGTCTTTTAATATGTCATAAATTGATTTTGTTGTAAATATGCCTGACAAGATTGTTACACTGAATGACATTTTAGTGGGTCTCTTCTGTAAATCAGGGAAAAATGTATGATGTTTATTTTTTGCTCAGAAAAACAAAAACAAAATTGCAATTAAATTAAACAGAAAACTTAAAAAAAAAAATTTGGGGGAAAAGCAACAATTTAAAGCAGTATTACTCTTATTGTTTTTATGCTTAAACCCTTTTTCGTCTTTGACCCATATAAACTATTATAGTTTTTTTTTTAATATCTTGAATTAGATTTTAGATTTCGTTTCATTTTTATTTTTGTTAAAGTTTTAGTAATTTTGTTGTCGTTTTTATTTTTTTTTTTAAATATGTCTATATAGTTTTATTTACGTTTTAGTTGTAGGTTTTAGCTTATTTAGTTTGATTTATTTTAGTACTTCAACTTAGTTAATGTTACAGTTTTAGAATATAATGTGATTTTATAATACATAACACAGCCTACAAGCTTACATTCACTATATTCGTTTTCATTGCCTTTAATATAAACATTGTTTCATTAGACAACATTAGGCAGGATGTAAAAACAAAAAAAAACATATATATATATTTTTTAAATTCAAATAGAAAAACAAAGAAAATTATTCTATATATTTCGTATATCGCAATTCAGCCAAAAAACACAGAGATATGATTATTTGGCCATATCACCCAGCCCTACTTCAACTTAAACGCAACGAAAATATCATATTGTCATATCCTGTCTTGATAAATAAATAAAAAAAATTAAAAATTAAATTAAAGCTATTTTTAAAAATTAAACCAAAATAAGAAATACTGTCTTGGCCACGAGCTGAAATAAAATAAGTTTACTTTTACTAACATTTTATTTTATTTCAGTTAATGATTATTTAATTTCAAGAAATGAAAATGTTTTTATGGTTTCAGATTTAATAAGCAATAATAACCCTGCATAGAACACAACTCAAAAAATAGTGATTTAATCAAAATCTGTTGAGCTGACACAAACTATGTTCAATGTATTCTAACTGAGTATTTAATGCTATGATACATGTGTGAATGATTTAAATACACCTTTTTATCTTTCAAAAGAATGCCCATTAATAAAAGATAATATTCCTCTATTAACCATTAAGCACACAACTCAACATTTGTGTTGTTTTACTAACTGAGGGACAAGCAGCAAGTCACGTGTGATAAAAACGGCACAAACCTTCATGGCATAGAGTTTGCCTTTATCATGTCCGCTGATTTTTCTGACCAGGAACACTTTCCCGTAAGCTGGTAAAGAGCAAAGCAGAGATGCAGATATTTAACAGTATTCAACAGCCCAGAGATCAGCTGATGAACAGCTTCATTACAGGTGCATATGTTTATTAAACTGGAACAGAAGTGCATTATGAGTTACACACCTCCAGTGCCCAGCACTTTCAGAAGCTCGAAGTTCTCCATGCCGACTTTCTCAGTGTATCCCGTGAGGTTTGCTGAGAACAGACAAACAAACACACCTTAATACTTATATCAAATACATATGATATGCTATACAGTTCATGCAGATGCAATGACATTTGGGCGATACCAACAACTAATACTAGGCCGATAGCCTACATGACGGAGAACGCAACAAAATGCAACACTGTTTTTCCTGCTTTTAAATTTTAAAATAAAATAGAGATAGGAAAGAATGAAATCAGGCAACAAACGTCAATCATCCAACACTGGAGATATTAGAAAAGATGGATAATTATTAATATTATTATTATTTTTGGAAACATGGCGTTTTGATTGTTATTTTTAAAATAATTTATTTTAATTTTACATTTTTATGATTTAATTGTTAGCTTTCCACTGAACTCACAAACAGTTCCTTTACGAAATTTTATATCAATATGTTACAAGATTATCCGATTTAAATCAATGTGATAAACGAGTTAGCTCAGAAGTAATCAGAGTACACTACCAGACAAACGTTTTTGAACAGTAAGATTTTGAATGTTTTTTTTTTTTAAGAACTCTCTTTTCTGCTCACCAAGCCTGCATTTATTTGATCCAAAATATATCAAATGTGTGAAATATTTTTGCTATTTAAAATAAGTTTTCTGAGTGAATCTCTGTTAAACTGTAATGTATTTCTGTGATGCGCAGCTGTATTATCAGCATCATTACTCCAGTCTTCAGTGTCACATGATGTTCAGAAATCATTCTAATATGCTGATTATTAGAAACATTTCTGATGATTATTATTATTATTATTATTTAAAACAGTTGCGTACATTTTTTTCAGGTTTCTTTGATGAATAAAAAGATCAGCATTTATCTGAAATAAAAAGCGTTTGTAACATTATACACTATACCATTCAGAAACTTCGAGTCAGTATAATATTCTTTTTTGGAGTAATGATGCTGAAAATTCAGCTGCGCATCACAGAACCAAATTACAGTTTAACACATATTCACATAGAAAACTGTTATTTTAAATAGTAAAAATATTTCACATATTTTGGATCACATAACTGCAGGCTTGGTGAGCAGAAGAGTCATTTTCTTTAAAAAAAAAAATTTAAAACATTAAAAATCGTACTGTTCAAAAGCGTTTGACTGGTAGTGTAGTCTGCTTATAATGTAACGGACTGCGTTACTGTAATCTGTACTCAGTAGCGGACAGCTCATACCGCTGGTGATCTGGTGTTTGACGGTGCGCTCGAGGTGTCGGTCCGAGTCCTCGCCGCTGCTTTCGCCGGACATCACGAGCTTTGATCGGTCCGAGGACTTAACATCTACACGCGGACTTCTGCTCGTTATGCATGTCTGTGTTTTAATCTCAGCTCACAAATCCCTCGGACATCCTGCTGTGGACGCACGCCCTAAATATGAACCGCTTCTGACAGCCGCATACTTTAATATCGTTCTAAACCTCGGTGCTTCCAGTTAACTGATGATCGTGTGGGCCATGGGTGGCTGTTATTTCCGTATTTCCAACTTCGACACAATTGTGCTGAGCTGTTCGCATCACGTTAGCGCTGTTTTAGCACAAACACACTCCAAACACAGCGATATTCGCTCGTCCGTGCTAGCTATCATCCATGACCGTTCACGATGTCCCTAGCAGCGGATCCACTCAAGCTGAACGGCCGTGTTCTACTCCTTTGCTCCTTTCTTCCGGGTGTAGTTACGCCCGGCTCGCCTTAAAATATGCGTTTGTTTGGGAAAGGAAATGAATTGAACGACAAACGCCTGGAAGAAAGTGTAGTAAGGATCATTTCGGCTACGGAAGCCCGAAGTAGTGCTGTTCGAATCGCGAACCAATCGTCGCTTTGAATCGGTTCTTTCGAGCGAACCGCTCGAATTGTGAATCAGAATCAGAATGAGCCAGGTACACATACGAGGAATTTGTTTTCGTGACAGAAGCTTCCACAGTGTAACAGAATGACAGTGACAGAACAAAAAACACAGATAAAAAAATAGAACAAGTAAATAAGGAATAAAAATATATAAATTGACAATTGTATGTACAGGTATATTATGTGCAAATTTGAGGTGTAGACTGAGTGTGAGTGTTATATAAATAACGTTGGCTACGTTCAAATGTGTGAGGTGAGGTTAGAAACACAAAAAGCGAGTTGCTATATTTGGCTTTATTTCATTAGAAAACATGCCGTAAATGCACTTTTGAGTTGCGTCTCCGTCCGAAAAAGTCGATGAATCGTTTTACGAATTGGTTCGCTAGATTGAGTCGTTCGAACGAACCGACTCGCTAAACCGATTCTGACTTTCGGATAGTGAGCCGAAGCGCCGCTGCTGGACTCTGCTTCGGAGCACATCAGACGTGTGTGGTTGGTTGGGTGTGTAGGTGGCGAAAGAGAGAAAAGCTGGTGCAATCCAACTCGCCAACTCGAGAAGGGTATAACTGCAGCCCGGAGATCTCCAAATGGGGGCGGGAACTCCAAAACGGGGTGGGAGCTCCAAAATAGGGCGTGGCTTCCTCCCATTGACAGACAGGCACATGACACGCATGCGCAATTTTCCCCCCAATCCACTTCAGTGCAAACTCTGCCCCACAGCTGATTCTAAAGAATAGAGTGAAATCGTTCCCCTGCGCTGCGCCGGGACGGCTCGCGGGTGATTCTCGTTTATATCATTAAGCAGAGGTTCCAAGTCCAGTCCGAACAGCACTGGCCACGAGCTTTGGGCTCTGCTCTCACTGAGAATATTTATTTATATAGCATATTTTATTTTAGATCAACTAGAAAGTTTTATTTTGAAATGTAAGTCAATAACAATTGGCCGAAGCCAGAGCCAATGGTGAAAGTCTTTGCGCGAGGAGACCCCGCCCCATTTTGGAGGTTCTGCCCACTTTTGGAGTTCACGCCCCATTTTGGAGATCTCCGGTCTGCAGTTATATCTACTTGGCCAAGTCCCGTGCTGAAGAACAGCCTCTTCCAATAACGACAGCTTTTATCTCACACACACTGTTTGGATCTCAAGTTGCATGTGTGTAATTGCTAGGTTGTGTGTAAGCTCTGTTGTGAGCTGTTATCATTAAAGTATCAATGAAGCGTGCTTGTTATTGAGACGGCCACCGGGACAAGACCACAGGAACCAGATGAGTCCTCTGCACAATCTGACTTTGCTGCAGCCTGGAACTGAACTGCTGGTTTGGTCTGGCCAGAGGAGAACTGGCCCCAACTGAGCCTGGTTTCTCCCAAGGTTTTTTCTCCATTCTGTCACCGATGGAGTTTCGGTTCCTCTGGCTTGCTTAGTTGGGGACACTTCATTTCCAGCGATATCGTGGACTTGATTGCACAGATGCTATTTAAACTGAACTGAGCTGGATGATGACACCACTGAATTCAATGATGAACTGCCTTTAACTGAACATTGAGTGTTTACTATTATCATTTTACATTATTGACACACTATTTTCCTAATTATTGCTGTACAGTTGCTTTGACACAATCTGTGCTGTTAAAAGCTCTATATAAATAAAGGTGACATGATTTATAGCAAAGGCATGTTGCCACATATGGGTGTGTTTCGTATTGTATACAAGTGTATATATATATATATATAAAGGACTTGACAATCTGTAGATGAGCACTTGACATGTACACATGCATTTGGATATTCATCTTCCCTCCTGTATTAACGTGCTTTGGATGCGTTAAGTGTGTGAGTGCTTGTGCAGCAGTTTGTGTATTAACAGATTAGGACAGGTTACAGGATAAAGGACACAGACACTAGGCTTTCGCTCTACATGCTGCCATCGGTCATCATCCTTCATTATCTATTTATGTGTGTAAGAAAGCGTGTGCATGTCTACCTGGCTCATGTGATCGTGCAGATCTTTCTGCTTGCTTACTGTGTGCATAAATAAATACACCTGAATGCTATTGTGTGGATGTGCAGAAGTTTGAAAGAAAGAATCGATGATAAGGCAGAAGCGGGGGGATACAGTATGCATCTATGTCCACAAAATATCACTACACGAAAAAGCAGTTCAAAATGTCAGATTTTATTAGACTCGACAGATTTCTGACGGTTCTGCGAGTGCAGTACAGTGTTTCATAGCAGAGCGTTGAGCATCATCTACACCATCTTTTAACACTTACAATGCATTTAATACCATGCTGAATGCAGAACAAAAGATGACTTAATGACTGTTAAGTATTTATGTTTACAACATGCAAGTAACACTGGATGAGAAAATATGAATTCGAGAAAATATGAATTTTAAGAATAATTTATTTCACATCTATCATAATTTTAATAATATTTGTAATCAATGATTTCCAGCATCAAACAGTTTGCTTGTCCACACTTCAAGCGGAAATACAATGCAATCAAAACCTTGTGAAAAAGAAGTACACTTCAGCATACTTTTAAAAAGAGTACTTATCACAGAAATAATATACTTTAAAAGAATTTGCTTAAGTGCAAAGTGAATAATGTTTTTGGATGCTTAACTGCATGTTATTTGCAATTAAATGAAAATGCATTATAGTTTGCATTTATGCTAAATGCAGTTAGTTGAATTTCAAAGTGTATTTCTCACCCACTTAAGCAGCACATCTTTAAATGCAATTTCATAATTACTGCTGTTGTCTACTGTGTTAAATACATGAGTGACAAATAATACTGGAAAACTCAAATATACTTTAATGACATTTTGACTGAAACGTATATGTAGTGTATTTAAATAGATTTGTGATTACGATGAAGTTGCAATTTAGTGCCTTTAAAATAATTAACTTTAAAACGTAAATACCGAATAACACACTACAGTTAAAATTATAATCAAGTATTTACATGTGCTTTAGTATGCTAATCAACACATCAACATAAGTGTACTAACTTGACATTACAGCAAAGTGCAGTTTTTAAAAGTGTACTTAAGTAAGAAAGTAGACTCTCTTTAAGTACACTTAAGTGGCCTTTTATTTCATTAATATTATATCACCTGCAAGTACAGTTTTTAAAAAATATACTTTTCAGATTTGAAGTACACTACAAGTGCACAGTCACTAGAATTAAGCGCACTTCTTTTTCACAAGGGTATGTTGTTCCAATCATTTACAAACATCCATAGCATTGGTATTACAAAACAGGCAATATCAGCCTCTTTCAGGCATATGACATGATTTTGTAAAGAAACGGGAAAGAATTATAATAGAACTTTCTGTTAAGAAACTGCACCGTCACTCACATATTCAACCACTCATAGTGGAGATTTAAGCATATTGCTAGTTATTTCCCAGGCGAGTTTCTCCCGACAGGAATGAACAGATGTTTACTCATCACGAGGCTCGCGATATCATATATTTGCCATGAAACGTAAGAGTGGAATCATTCATCGTTCAAAAGACTTCTAATGAAATTGGGTGAAATGTTGATACTGTTAATGTATTTTAGAAACAACCATTTTAGTGTATTAATGATGTACACGACTCTTTGAGATGTAGGTCATTAAAACTGATCAGGTGAATCTGACTCTTTAGCTGGCGGCCCCTGCTTCCGGTTTGGCTTCAGGAGGGGCCACCTGGTTCAGCAACAGGAGCTTCAGCACAGGATCCACGTACTCCATGAAGGTCTCCTTCACTCCCTTCTCAAGCAAGTAGCCCTCGGTGTCGATCTCCACATTCTCCTGTCCAGCCACGGCCTCCATAGACGTCTGCAGGAGGCGCACACTGGCCAACACTGAGCACTGTAGACGAGAGGTGTTCCATGTGAGGAAATGGGTTAAAAATGGCTGGTTAATCTAGTCTAATAAACCTGCGAATGTTGCTGGCTCCTTGACAAATTGCTCACTTTGGATGAAAGTGTCTGCTACGTGCATATATGTAAATGTAAATATACATGCATGTGGAAAAATACCAGAATTTGGGGGTTTATTTCCTATATTACGGGTTTAATCTGCTATTATATATTAACCTACCCTACAATAAAAAATGTGTCATTTGCTGTATGCATTGCAATTTATTAGTGTTTTAGTCCAGTTTTTTTTTTTTTGCAATCTTCTGAAATGATCCATTTAGCAAAAATGCATTTCAGTCACTGTAGTTAATGCAATGCGATACATTACGCTAAATCTGTAACATTAACTAAACATGAGTAATGCATTTACAGTATGGGTAACACTTTACAATAAGGTTCATTAGTTAAGTACTTCAGTTAACATGAAATCAGAATGAACAATACCTCTACAGCATTTATTAATCTTAGGTCATGCTAATTTCAACATTTACTAATGCATTATTAAATTAAAAGTTGTGCTTGTTAACATTAGGCAATGCACTAACTAACAATAAACGACAACGTATTTGTATTTTATGTATATTAATAAATACTGTAATAAATGCATTGTTCATGGTTTGTTCATGTTAGTTAACCTTGTTGTTACCACAGTATGTTATAGTTAGTTAATAAAAATACAGCTGTTCATTGTTAGTTCATGTTAGCTCAGGTCCATTAAAAATGAGTATGGTGCTTACTCTGATTAGGTCCGTTGTGTGCATGCAAACCTCGAGCAGCGTACCTGAATCAGAAAGACGGACAGAACTACAGCTCCAATCGTGTTCATCAACCCCATGTAATAGTTGACCAGGGCTTCTCTGCAGCCATGGATGAAGATGTTGAGCTCTTCGGTCTGGTGCTCGTAGTTGTAGTGGGCGGTGTTGTTGGTGATTCTGTACTGGATACAGGGTCTGGGAGAACTAGGGTTACAGCAGCTGAAGGGCAGACCGTCGATCAAGTATCGGCCATCCACATTGCTCTTAATGCGGCTGAGGATTGAGAAAGGAGAAGGAGATGAGAGAAAGCTTAGAGAATGCTCTAAACTGGCGTTCATCCCAAAATATTGTTGCATTTACAAAGACATCTCAGAGTCCATGTTTGAACTTAGTATTAGAATTAGTCTGGTGTGATCAGCCAAGACAGATTGCAGTTTACGCCAGGTATTAACGTGAATCATACATGCATTTTCAGTGGTCATGTTTTCTTCAAATAGATGGTCTTTTGATGCCTAGTGTGTCTGAATGCTTTTGGACACTTCATTCGAAACAAAATATCAAATCGTGTGGCATCTGAAAAGGAATGATGCAAGAGACTTCTCAGAACTAACTTCACATTTCTGAGCCATTTTGGTCTCGGGGTGATTTATAGTGGATGGATGAAGTCTCAAGTTCTCCTCAAGTGTCCTAAATAGAGTAATACGGATGCTAAAGGGACAATTCACCCAAAAATGAAGATTAAAAAGATTAAGATAAAACGGAGAGTTCCGGTGCTTGATTCTGATTGGCTGAGCCGCGTTCCAAGCTGTTGTAAATTACTCTACAAAGTAACATACACCTTTGTTTACGTTTGTCTGTTGCTCGGCAACCACTTTGTTGCAACCACAACTGATTCTGAGGAGCTACATTGTTTGGTGGAAGAATACTGTTTTTATTAATATCATTACACTTTATTTGCTCTGTTTTATTTTGTGAAACCTTACTACGTATATGGAATAACCGTTTTATAAAAGCAATAAACCCCGTGAAGCCGTGGTTTACAGTGAATTTATAACAGCTCGTGCCTAACAACGCCCCTTAGCTGTTATAATTCACTGGCTTCTTGGGGCTTATTGCTTTATTCTCTCACCATTGTGGTGTTCTAAACCTGTATGCATTTCTTTATTTGGTAACACTTTTGTTTAAGATCCAGTTCTCACTATATCAGCATGCATGTTACTTGCACATTGGCTGTTTATTAGTACTTACAAAGCACATATTAATGCCTTACTCTGTATGACCATATTCTAGATCCCTTAATCCTCAAACTTAACTGACTATGTGAAGTGTGAGCCTTCATCCTGTGGAAAATAAAAGAAGATTCTTGGAAACAAAACAGAAGAAGCATTCTTCGAAGTATGTTGTTTTGGTGAAGGTGTGTAAATGGCGACACGGTTTTCATATGTGGGTGAACTCCTGTATCGCTCTAACGCTTTCTCAGTGACTCACTCCTTGACTTCCTTCGAGCTGAAGTCCAGGTAACGGTTGCTGATCCACTGCACCTCGAACCAGTCCTTGTAGTTGCTGTTCCCGCAGCACTGGAACTCCATCTGAAGGCGATCGATGGTCTGCTTCTGGAAGCAGCGGCCGGGGGTATCGGTGTCCTTGTAGAAGCGGATGCCGTTCTTCAGCCCGATCTTCAGCGAGGACTCCAGGCTGCCCTTCATGGCGTAACTCAGGATGACTGAAAGCAGCATGAGGGTGCTGAAGAAGACCGAGCATCCAAAAAAGGACTTCAGGTAGGTCTTCCATCGCGGGAAACGGCCGGGATCCAGGGCATCCTGGCAGATTCGACTGGCAAAGTAGTTGATGCCCATTGAAGCCAGACCCACGATCATCAAGGTGTTGGGCACACAGTGGATGTCTGTGTTGTCCATTACCTAAAGCACAAGATGTGGATGTCAGGCCTTTTTCAGCTCAGACTGCATTGTCTACACTGAATTTACTTCATTTCTTTTGAAAATTAGCGACCTTTTATTAGAGTGGATTATATGTAATACAGATCAAATTAACCCCTAAATCACCCATAATAACCCATGTATATTTGGAGAATATTGGAGAGCTTTTGGTTGATACATTAGCAGCAAGCTGTGGCTCAGTTTTCCATTACGATTAAGGTGAATTTGATAATCCACTGGGACTGTAGTAAACCAATTAGTAATTCACTAAGCTTCATGAAAGGATTTTTTTAAA